ATATAATAAAAATATGATAATATTAATGGCCAAAAATTAATTTGTCAACGTCAAGGTTAACCCTGATCTTTGAGGAAATTGTATTTCTTGGCAAGGAATAAAATGGTATGTTGGTCCGTAAGCCTTAGTGTTAGGTCGATGTGATCTGGAGAGATTATCCGCCGCAGATTCTAATATCCGAGAAAGCCTTGACTATCACGGAATACTGTACCAGTTGTCATGTGACCTCACTTATTTTGGCATAGCAGTGGTACTTCTGGCACAGTTTGCTTCCCCTTCCCCGGACCCCGTCTTTAGATGCTATGTAACCTTAGGAAAGTTTAGTCACGTGATAAGACAACGGAGGAAAAATGTTTCCTTTTCGTTGGTCGCCGACCCTTGCAAATTAGTCTCCCAGTCATCAGAAAACTGTCTAGGCTAAATCAGCTGTTTCCAAAAGTGGTACGAGAGTTTTTCTTTCAAGCAGACCTGCAACATCTGTTCCAGTATTTCTCGCTGAGGACGATCGCCTTCCGGTCCAGCCAAGTACTTTGAGGGGCTCTACTTACTTCGCAGGCTCCCATTGGGTGTTACAGAGTCGACTTCGCACGATGATTGGCTGTTTACTCTCCGGCCGCGACGTGATTGGCTGGCGTGCTCGGCGATTGGGCACCGGGAGCCGAGGGGCGGGAGGCGCGAATTCGTCGGTGTGGAGCCGCTGAGCTGCAGCGCTCAGGAGGAGGAGTGGCCGTGGCTGGGCACCTAGCAGAACCTGACGCAGGTGAGGGGCACCTTTCCCACTCGTGAACTCCCCCCGAACGCCAGCATTTCCTTTTCTCCCGGAGCTGGAGCCAGCCGCAGGCGAGTGGGGAGGACGGCGGGGAGGCAGGCGCCTGCAGTCCTGCGCTAGCGGGCTCAGGTCCTTCTGCGTGACAGAGTCACTCGGCCGGGGCATCCTTGGCTGTGCGGGAGCTGGGCGCGTGGGGAAGGAGAGCTGAGGAGCAGGGGCCCTGTCCTTACCGTCTGCGAACGCAGGCCGGGAAGTAGCCCCAGCCCTCGGCCCCCGCAGTACTTCTAGGCGGGAGACAGATTTTTTTTTTTTTTTTTAAAGAGACAGGATCTCACCCCGCAGTCCTGACTTGCCTGGAACTGGCTATGTAGACCAGGCTGGCCTCGATTTCAGAGAGATCCTCTGCCTCCTGATTGTTGGGGGTCAAACATCTGCACCACCACATCTGGAAGTTAGTTTCTCCTCGATGCATTCTACAAGGGAAGCTCCCACGTTTTGAGTGTTACCCCAGCTGCAGGCATAGATTGCCATCTAGGTTAGTTTTAGTAAAACAGTATTGAGGTTTTGCTTCAGATTAAGAAATCAGAGTCCATTAAGCCTCAGAGGTTTACAGATAGAATCGGTGATTGGATAATTTTTCTAAGAATCTTTTATTTATTCTTGGACAGTTTCATACAGGTATACAGTGTATCTTGATCATATGCATCCCCAATCTATCCTTCGCACTCCCCTGGACCCCTTCAGATGCCTTCTTCCACCTACATGTTGCCCCACCCCCCACCCACTGAGTCCAGTTAGTCCTGCCTGCTGGAATGTTGACTGATGTCGGCTTGATTTTGTGCAGGGCTTGTCTGACAGGACAATATTTAGAACTGGAAAATATCTTTGAGGAGTGATTCTTTTGGCGCCCAGAGGTAGCGGCTAAAGTTATTATTGACTTCATGATCTGTCGAACAATCTGTCTTAACCATCTCCATTCCCAGACTGAATTTACCATATATATATATATTTTTTTTCACAGTTGCAAAAATTCTTCGGTCGGTGAAAGTGTCTGAGAGGTTAGGCAGATGCCAACAGTGGAATCCAAATCCATTTTCTTTCCATTGTAGTCTCCTGACTTCAGAATTACTGTGCTGGCCCAGGGAGCCGGCTCAATAGATAAAGGCACACCCGAGCCTGAAGACCTGTGTTTAATTCCTGGACCCACATGGTAGAAGGAGAGAATCGACTCTGGCTCCAGCAAATTGTCTTCTAACTTCCACACACGTGCCAGGCCATGTGGGTCCTCCTCCTCCCCCAGTAAATTAAAAGATGGTTAAGAAATTAAAAATGTTACTGTGGAAAGTTACTTTCTCCTTTACAATGGTTTTAAAATAAGGTATTATTGCAGAGAAGAATTTTTTGACCGTAGAAGTAAAATGATAGGTCACAGATACATCCTCCGCTTCTTGACTGCTTGTCCGTGCCTCTCTTCTTCTGGGTGGGAAAGTGTGGAAAGGGAAATAGGAATGTGCAGACTCAGAGAAAAGAGTGGGCTAGGGAACGCAGAGCTTCTTCAGCAGTCTGTCCTTCTGAAGTTGATGCTGTGCGGTCTGAGTTGTTCCAGGAACTTGTGCGTCTTCTGCCACATACTGGGTGCTCCTCCATTATTTTATTTAACCTTTACAGCAGTCCTCTCGGGGTGATTCTGTTGCTATTCTTATTTTGCACTTGAGGATGTGGAGTCCTAGAAAAGTTAAGTGATTTGCCTGAAGTCACATAACTAATCTGTCATGGAGTAGGAGTGCCAGATCCAGGTGACGGTCAGACTCTGGTACCTGATCTTGACCCCGAGATTTATTTACAGGACTAGGAAATTGTTTGCTTCCATTGCTTTGGTATTCGCTCTTATTAATTGCAGTTTTTATTGTCAGACTTCTGTTCTGTTGCTAGGTGTCTGGCTTTCCATGAATGAGATTGTTTCAATATTTAACTATAAATACTTTTTATTTGTATGGGTGTGCCAGGGAAACACAGCTTCTTGCAGAAGCTGGAGAAAGGTGTAAGATCCCTTGGAGCTGGAGTTACAGGCATTTGTAAGCTGCCTAATGTGGGTGCTTGGAATCCACCTTAGTTCCTCTGGAAGAGCAGCAAGTGCTCCTAACTTGTTGCACCATCTCTCCAGCCCCTCAGTGTTGGTTTCTCTTGCAGTGACGTATCTAAAGTCAAGAAGAAAGCAAAATGTCCTCCTCAATGTCATCGGAATACACTATTGGTGGGGTGAAGATTAACTTTCCTTGTAAAGCTTATCCAGCACAGCTTGCTATGATGAGTTCTGTAAGTATTTTACATCAGTTAAGTCTTTATTAAGATGCTGTAGCTCATGATTCCAAGTGTACATTGAATTTGTAACTGTTCTCAGGTACAGAATGAGGGCTACTATTTGCTGGATTCATTTGGAAGAACACCTGCTTTTTGGAAAGTAATATCCATAACTCCTAAGCTGTATATGTTTGGTTAGCATATAAAGAAGAACATTCTCAGCTCCTTTGATTTTAGTGTGTGTGTGTGTGTGTGTGCGTGTGTGTGTGTGTGTGTGTGTGTGTGTGTGTGTGTGTGTGTGCGCGCGTGCGTGCATGTGAGAGAGAGAGAGAGAGAGAGAGAGAGAGAGGAATGTGTCTGTGTTGAGTATCCTCAGTCACTCTCTACCTTTTTCTTTTGAGGCATAGTCTCAGCTGAATCTGGAACTTGGTTTCCGTTGTTGTTTTTGCCTGGGCTGGCAGTCTGCAAGCCCTCTACCTCCTCCTATCTCTGCCCACTGTAGTGCTGGGCTGGCAGTCTGCAAGCCCTCTACCTCCTCCTATCT